CTCTCTCCTCTCTCCTCTCTCCTCTCTCCTCTCTCCTCTCTCCTCTCTCCTCTCCTCTCTCCTCCCCTCTCTCCTCTCCTTTACTGAGTAGTTTTCACAGAAGATTGGACTGGCCAGGGCTGCCGTTGTCAATTTCTTCTAATTGAGACCTCTCTGCTGAGCAGTATCTTCTATTTGAAGTGCCCGAAATCGCAAAAATCGGTCTGCGGAGATTCTCTGGACGTTGTCAGTTTCTTCTATTTGAAACCATGGCCCAACTTCCCCAAAATGACTGCCTTCTATTTGAAAATATTGTTTCTTATCTTCTATCTTTCCCGTTCGGATTATAGTGAATGAGTGGTTCGGACAGCTGCTATGCGAAGAGGGATATGAATCAGGGGGTCGATGGTGTCCCAAGATTTGCAAAATACACCTTAGTTGCCCAAACATGCATTGTTGAGAAAGTTTGCGCACAGTCTAACGAGCATCCGCCATCAATAATCAGTGGAAATGTGGTGGTTCTCTTAAAAGGATTCTCAATAGGATAGAAGTTCTCACAGATTGCATTTGCAAACATGTCCTATATTGCAGTGCCTGGCATCCGTTGGTAACCCGGTCATAGACTTCCGGATGGCACTCTAGGCATCCAGAGAGAGGGAATTAATCCCAGAGTAACTCAGAAGAATCAGGAGTGGAATGGTTGTTGTGAATCATTCCCTGAGCGGTTCAACAAACCTGTGCCGCCACTTATTTTTGAACTAAGTAGCCCCGACAAGGGTATGCCAGTAGGGCAGTGCACCGGCTTTCATGAACATTTGCCAGTGAATCCATGTATTCAACAGATTTTGTGCCCACATAGCATGGATCAGTAAAATGACGTAAAATGACGTTATTTCCCCGACCCACCTTCACATTGCGCGGAGACAGACACCAGGTCTTCTCCACCGGCCGTGGTCGTGACCCTCACGCGGCGCTCCGCCTCCGAGGCCCTCGGGTAGGCCGCTAAGAGGGAGGTAGCTAGTACCATCTGGTACCTTGGTGAAGCTGCTACCGACAGGACGCACGATAGCCCTGCTTCAAGGGCGGCAGGGGGAGCTTCCTTGAAGAAGGGCTATCACTAATGATTGGTTCCTAGATTTTTAGGGAACCGAACCGAAATTCAGTAGGCGCCTACTTAATGAAGTAAGGAGGTACTGGTAAGCTACTAACTAGCTACTTAAGCAACTACGTACGGACGCAGATTTCTCACGCTCGCGCTAATGATTTGGCCCTGGGAAACTTACTTACTCATTGCAATTGTGTTTTTCTATGTGTGTTTTATCATGGTCTATTTTGGTTTGGGCTGCTACTTGGGAGGCTTCTAGAAGGAACCATTTGGATGGGATAGCTGCAAAAAAGGGCACATCTTGAAGAGTCCGCAGGTTCAGTAGAGTTCTTATTCAAAAGGCACGCGCTTATTCTCCAATAGCAGGGTTTCTTGAATTCGTGGCATTTGGCCAGTTGCGTCGTGTTCGGGCTTCTTGCATCGATGCAAGATTCCCTATCCGCTAGCTGCTAGCTTCTTCACAACGGCCGCGCAGGTTGACGAGATCCATCAGCAACGGGGGTGCACTCCAGGCAAGTGCAAGTGTTTTCTTTAAACCATTCCTGGTCAACTTGCAATCGCCAGCTGCCACATGTTTCAGTTGGCAGGTCTGACCAAATGATGCAAAGCTTTGGTCACCTACACTTACACTAGAGAATCCAGTGTTCTATCCTTGATGGAAGACATGACTTCTTGCCACACAACCCAAAGTGAAGACTTGGTAGCTTACCAGATCCATCTACATCCCAACTCGCCAACTGATGCTAAAGTTCTTCATGTCAAAGGGTCGCTCAGGGGGTCCATTGGTCGTTTGCGGGTTCTGGCATCCCAAGACAGGACAGTTGGAAGGAGACGCTTGGGTAAAACCAACTGCAGCAGCTTGGACGCTGCGGTTCTCAGTGATCTCGCGGCTGGAGGTCTCAGTACTCGACGTGGGGCTGTGGGGCGAAGAATTTGGTGACTCAGGGGCGATGCGAGTCCCAGGCTCGGCTAATGATCCAAGCGCAGTGGCCAAAATGAGTGCAGCGCAGCACTAGAAGCAGTCGCCCGCTTGCGTCAGGGCCCAGGGCTGGTATTTGATACTGGTGGTCCTACTGCTTTCATGTTCACTTCGACTGGGGAGGTGATTGCACATTAAGGGCCTCCTTTGTAAATCTCAGCATAACTCTCTATATAATTCTATATACTGTATATATATATATGATCAAATCGTTGAGTTGTGTTGGGGATCACATTCAAGATGATTCAGCCTATACAGCTAGAAATAGGCAAAATACGTCGCCAGTCATCATGCTACATTCTCCTACGTTCTAGAACGGCTTTTCATGACACAGAAATCAAGTGATTGTCTCTAGGGTGTCTAGGCGAATGGCTCCACTGTTTGATCCGAACCACTGGCTCCATCCCTACCATGCAGCTTGTGGCTGAACAGAGACGACAGATGCAGGCATGGAAACGACAGATGCAGGCGGTGTGTTGACACCCCAAGCACAGGCGCGAGAATGAGTTTCTTTATATAACCGCCTTTAATCAATTGAATCATTTGCTTGCAAATTTCTTTGGTGCTGAAGATCCTTCATCTCCAACTCTTCGAGATCTCCATATTTGCTTCCGCAAATGCCCAGTTCAGCTGTTGCCTTCCAAAGCATGGGCCTAAACAGATCATGAAAAGGGATCTGGAATCCGTCCCCGTCGTTCGGGGAGTTCTCATGGGGTGCTGTTTGCGGAGCAAATCGCTGCCGAGTGGCTCGCCGTGGCTGGCATTCGCGCTCCTTGTGGCCGTAGCGCACCGTTGCTGGGCGGAGACCGGAACAGTGCGACCTTGTGACCTTTTGCGAGGGATCAACAGATGCCTAGTTGACCAGTGTTAAGAGAGGAATGACCCCAGGTGAGCAACCGCCAAATGCCACCAATTTAAGCAAGAGCGCTCGTGATGCTCAGGAGTTTGGCTAAAACTTGCATAAGCGATAGGCCCCCTCAAAAGTGGTAACCTTGTCAGTTTTTGGATTTCAGCTATGTTGAAAGTGGCTGGGGCCTGAAAAAGCAATACCCTTGTTGAATCAAGCCCTCTTCATTGACGAGACTGTTATGGCAGAGGCTCCGGTGCTGATGAGAATCCTTTTTCCTTTTTCCACGTAGACAAATTTAAATGCGTGATAATGTGTGTGTTTGTCTCAATGACGTCAGCAATTCGGAGCTTTGAAGTCCGAGATGGCAACCACGATATGGAGGGTTCTCAGCCCATCAACCAGAGGCCACGGAGGCTTTGCCTTGACAGGCCACGGTCCTTTAGAAACTGCTGGGGTTTGGCCACAAGCCTCTTTTCGTGAGCGGATTCCAATCAAGCCATGCACTCCTCGATTTCAGATCAAGCAGCGTCATCCCGAAACACACGCCTCACCTGGTCAGAATACCATCACTATCCAACACTAGTTTCAAAATGACTTCCTGAAATCAGTCAGACACCAGATCTATATTCTACTGTAATTAGTCTAATTACAGATCTATATTCTAATTATTCTACACTGTATCGAGTCCTTCCAACTCGAACTTCTGCAGGCACCGGCACCTTTTGCGGCGGTGCTCCGCTGCTGTTCAAGCGGAGTGGACGAACGTTCGCAGCGGGGCGCCTGGCCACGGACCCCAACTTCGCAGCGAATGTTGGGGATTCTTGGATGTCCCGCAGGGCTTGGGTCTTAACTCTAGATTACATAAATTGATGATGGTCAATTCAGGGTAGGGCAAGGAGTTATTTTGATCCTTTAATATCATCATTCAATATCAATTATATATTAAAGCAAAAAAAAGGTGGGGTCGAAGGTAAATCAGAATCACCCAGCCACGTTTTCTCGGCTCAGGAGGCAACTGAGACGGTGAGGAGCGACCACGCCCAAATCCCTCGTTTGGCTCCTGGCTTGAACGTCGCAGATCCTCGTGTGTCCTTGGAAATCGCACAGGTGTGGTCACATGCGGACAGCTCAGTGGATGATCTTTGAAGACTATAGATGTAACATGATCTTTGGGAAAAGCTGGAAGAACACGTGATACTCATTGATACTCATGTTTCTGCACAAGTTTCTGCACAAAGCTTGCCAATGCATGACCAAGTCACCACTCTTCACCAGACTCATTGGCCCTGAGGTGAGCGCCCTGAGATTCTCTGGACTCACGCAATACCGCGAATTCTGGGACAATTTTCGATCTGGAGTAGAGCTGGTGAGTGCCTCTGCCATCAGCGAGGTGGTGAATGTGGTGCAGTCTGGCTTATACTTGCGGGTCCGCTGGCGGTTGATCATGAAGCCGAAAGATGTACCTATGGCAGCCAGTGTCAGTGGGGTCTCAAGGTTTGGACAGAAAAGACAGGGCTACTTCGTTTGTCGATTCCAAAGGTGTATTGTCAGCGTGGTGTGCGATTGATTGGACCACCTCAAGAGTTACCCCTACAAACCAGAGGCCGCCACCTTTGGCGGCCCCCGTTTTGAGCCACAGAGAAGCTTCATTGAACTACACTCCAGGCACTGGACAAGAAGGCACTCTTAATCTGTACTATCAAAAAATTGTTGGAAGTTTGGCCCAAGGACCGCTGGTCACAACAATGTAAACCATTGGTGTCCTTCTCTCCAGCTCATGCTTTGGATGATGAAGTGAAGCATCATCCACACGATGTCCGCATGGTTCGACCGGAAACGCCTCTCTTTCTGACCGGGGGGCTGGGTCTCGAGTCCGAAGAGTCCCCAGGTGGTCGCCCCGCCCGTCACGACGGTCCGGTCGCGACCGGTCCAAGGTCTTCTCCGGCGCTTTGGGCGGGGTGCAAGCCGCCCAAGGAGCCTTTGGCAACCTGCGACAAGCGGTGCCGAAGGATGGGCGTCGAGAAGCAGCAGTTTTGTTGTGGGGTTGATTTGGTTTGGATTGTTGTTGAGTTCTTATCATAACATCATTACAGGCATGTGTATCAAAAAGAAATTAATTACTGAATCAAAAAAGTAATTACGTAATCAAACATATATTAATTAACTATTCAAAAAATAACTATTGTCCTTTCCCGTCTCTTGTATGCTTGCTCCTGGTCCCCTTGGTCCCCTGGTCCCCTTGGTGCCCTGGTCCCCTTGGTCCCTGGTCCCCTGGTCGAAGGGAAGGGAAGGAAGGAAAGAAGGGATCAAGGTAGGAAGTGAGGAAGGCAGGAAGGATGGAAGCAAGGCAGCCAGGAGGCAAGGAAGCACGGACAGAAGAAGGCAGGAAGAAACAACGTAACAAAGGAAGGACCACAAGGAACATGAAGAATAGAATTAAACAACAATAAACAAAAGAACCATCAACCATGTTAATGGAGGTGCGTTTTTTTCGGGATTTTTTTTGTATTTTTGTTGCTTCTGATTTTGCTGTGTTTTGCTTTTGTTGCTTTTCTGCTTCTGCGTTGTTTTTGCTTTTGTTGCTTTTCTGCTTTTGCTGCTTTTCTGCTTCTGCTGCTTTTTTGCTTTTGTTGCTTTTCTGCTTTTTGTGTTTTTGTCTTTCTGTTCTTTGCTTTTGTTGCTTTTCTGCTTTGGCAGCTGTTCTCCTTTCTCTTTTTGTTTTTGCCTTTTCCATTTGTTTGGTTTGCAGAGAAGAAGCCAAACAAGAAAGCAAGCAAGCAAGCACGAGCTGCTCACCTTTGGATCTGGTGTGCTGCTGGGGGGGCGCTGCGCCCCCCCCCAACCCCCCCGCACCACGAAATCTGCACTTCATCTCCGACACCCGCGCCTGCCACGAAATCAATATTTTAAGGTGAACTCCCCGGTGCAAAAACTTCTAACCAACCAAATACGCCTCCTGTGCTAGTTCTCTTTCTCTTTGCTGTTTCTCTGCTAACTGCACCAAACTATTGTGATAGGTAGGAATTTCTCTCACACCTACACTACTCCAATGTATTTTGCCAGCTACGACAGCTCCCGAATTAGTCTAATCAACTAGCAACCAATATGAAACCTGCACTATTCTAATGTATTGGGCCAGCTGCGACACCTGTGTCTCTGCTAAGGACACGAAATTGCTGTAATTACAGTAGCTAGGTGCCAATAAGAAACCCGCTCTATCCCAGAGAGCTCGTGGCAGAATAGTTTCTTTTTGATTAAGTAATCAGTTCTTAATTGGTCCCCTCGAATAGTACTTTTTGATGCGGTAAATAACTTTTTTGATACTTCACCCATCATAACATTCAAAAACGTCATATATTTGCGGGGTGATGTCATTTGTTGCATCCCTTGAAGCTGTCATTTGAGTTGGAAAGGACATTGAAGTTGCCATTGCAGTTCAATACCTACTGTAAGACATTGTAAGACTACAAGAAAGAGAAGTCTCTTGGAACAACATGAGCAACTGAGCACCATCGCAGCTCACCGTTGACTTCAGCTCTGTCAGGATTTGCCCTTCCAAGCGAATGATTTCTTCCGCCAAGCCGAGCAATGGACCTCTCAGGCCTCCGCCGCGGCGGCCGAGGCCGCCCGCGACGCGTCGGAGGCCGAGAGGGTGGTGGAGTTCAACTCCATCTACGAGACCTGGTGATGTGTTTTTTTTCGCGGAACACTTGGAGGCCGGTGACCGAAAAGCGGAATTGCTGTTGGAGGGAGTTGATAGATCCAAGAATTTGCTTGGTGCCCTATTCACTGTTTGTGTTGCAGTCTGGACATTGCTCGATGCGTGAAAAAGAATCGAACCAAACATGTGGTAGAGTTGAACGCCAAAATGGATCAAAAAAGTGGATCTCAACCACATAATTGCCTTGAAGTGTTTAGTTCAGGTCAACTCTTTCAGCCACAGAGTTGTCTTTAGTAGATCTGCAGGTCGCCTGATGATGCTTAGAATATCTTAGAATTGAATTGAGGTGAGCGATGTGAAGATGAACAACATGTCACTGCATGTGGGACATTGATGGACATTGACGGTTGGAACCCTTTGGCATCCACGCATCTTTCAGTCACAGGACTTCTGGGTTTCATTCAACTCAGTCCTCCTTGGGCCTTTCTTCTAGACCTTTCCACAATTGGTTTCCCCACGGCCCGGAGAAATCGGTCCAGCTTGACCAGCTGAGGAGCTCGATTGCTGGAGCGGGCGGATTGTGAAGCACACCTTGGAGTTCCGAAGCCCCGACACTCGGCGCGACGAGACTGGAGCGACTTGCTACCACCAAGGAGCATCAAAGGAATTGTTACTACCTGTAAGGCACTTGTTACTAGAAGCGATGCACTTGTTACTACTTGCTTCTTGTTACTACTAGTAAGGCACTTGTTACTACGAGCATCAACTCAAACCTCCTTTTTACAGATTACATTACTGTAACGTACTGGATCCTTTTTTCTTTGGAGCCAAGGCTGCAAGCTTGGTCTCATACAGGTTTGAAGATCTTTGCTGGCCTCCCACAGACAAAAATCCCATTCTGTAAGTCTACCTGGCATCCACCACACTACACAGAATTGATACCGCTGGTGCAAGAACTGACTCACCCTTGTGTCGATGTGTTCACGGTCTTTGTGTGCTTGTTCTACTGCAGTCAGCAGTCCAAGGAAGAAAATTTCGATCTGCTGGGCACCTTGGCAGGAATGCCCGCACGATGATGGATCCCAAAAAGGGCGATCGATCTACTGGTGGTGGGGGATGTGGGACTCGGATGATCCTGATCATTTGTGCCCTCTTTATTTGGAACTCGTACTCAGTATGGAGATGAACATGGGAACAAATACCTGTCGCAAAATACCTGTCGCAAAAGAGCACCTAGTCAGATCTAGTCACTAGTTGCTAGACTTTGTGACTCGTCCGCTTTCCTGCATGACTGATTTGTTCTTCATCTTGACGAGGCCCCGGGGATGACTCAACCGGCGATGGATGCTTTTTCGGGAGCATTTGTTCCCTGAGGGTTAGACACCCAGGAAAGATTGAGACCAGTACAGAGTGTTCTTTCGGCTCTTTGTGAGGAGGGCTAAGCTGGCTGAGCTGATGAAGATCAGTGGGCTTGAACACCTTGAGATCATCCAGCTGCGGCTGCTTGCCCGATGACCTTGACGTTGGCTCCAGGACAACCTCGCAACTGGTGCTTCCCGCTAGCTCAGAATGAAAGCTCAACACAAACTCAAGCACTCCCAACACCCAATTCACGCAAGAGCAACCGCCTGAAAAGATTTGTCCACTCAGACGACTCGACATACCTATGAAGTCAGCGTTGTGTAGCTTTGGGCTTTGTGCTAGACACTTCACAACCGCAAGCCACTGCTTACCACTCTGCAAATACACCGACCATCTCCACACCAAGACCATCTCCACACCGACCATCTCCACCTCCGCGCCCGAACGGAACCGGTTCCCGGGCGAGTCACACCGGAGACCTTCCATGGCATGGCGGACCTGGAAGCCTCGGTGCTGAACTCCTTGTGCCGATGCAAGCAAGGCCTTTCTGAAACAGCGTTTCAGCGGGAGAGGTGGTATCCTGCCACCTCAGGTTTACAGGGTTCAGAGTAGTGTACCATATCCTACATACACACGTATATACACATAAATATATACATATAAATATACATAAAAATGTATTTTACCATATTTCATCAATATCTCTGGACACTGCGGTGAACGAAATTGAATCCAGCTGGGCACACCGTGGCACACCCAGGGTGGTTTGTGGGGTGTTCTTGTTAGAGGTTGAGTGTGATGTAGACCTTTTTGGTGAAGGTGACAACTCAGTCTTCTGCTCAGATGGAGCAAGGAAAGAAGAGTGCCGATAATTTTCTTTGGGATTTTGCCAGCTGGATTGGAACCTTGCAGTGGCTCATTAGGATCCATTTGTGTTTCCATAAAGATCCTCTTGAGAAACGCGGCCGGGCCCAAAATCATCGAAGGCGCCGTTAACAAAAATGCTGTGCGAGCCACCCAATGATTGACGCTTCCAGTGGAAACGAGCAAATGGATGCAAATGGCACAATGCTGAGATCTCACCGAATGGATGTATGTGGCAGGCTTAACAAGAAGCTACTAGGGGCTCCTGGCATCGCTACTAGGAGCAAGGACGCTACAAGGGGCTCCTGGCCGTACTACTAGGAGCAAGAAGCTACTAGTAACTGTTGCATTGCTGTAAAATGATCTTTAAAAGGTTTGTCCAATTTCGTCTTGCGTCCTGAAGGATCGTCACATCGGTTGCATTACAAGACACTGTACTAGACTAGACTGGAGACCATTTCTACAGAATGCTGATTACAAGCTAGCCAGAAGCCCAGAAGGTTTTGGAGTCAATCCTGCTTCATGCTTTCGTAAGCCATAGCAAGTTTGGAAGATTGAGTCACAGGAACGTGGATTTGTTTGACATTTGCAAGCTCTTCTCCCAGTCCCATTCTTGAACTACAGAGAACCTTCACGAACAAGTGTGATAGATATGAAGCTTCTCGAACCAGGAGAATAATCTGTGGGTGTCTTCGGGTTTTTGTTGGCAGATGGCAACTCAAAGAGAGTGGAGAGCGTAGTTCCAAGATTCGACAGCTGAAGGGATCTGAAGACGAGGTCATCACCCCTCAGGATCTTTGTTCCACAAAGGTTGGACCCAGGGCGCAGGGGGAATTGTTCCTTGCTGGGCCAGGTGATTTGAAGAAAGGCCTGCCGGTTGAGTTTGGGGAGAGCTTGGATGAGTTTGGGAGTGCAGGAGATGTGTAAAGTGGGGGGTGCATTTATTTGGAAGAGGATTAGTGTGAAGGTGTCAATGATGCATAGAGTATTTGGAGGCTGTCCCAGATCTTTCTTTGGTTTTTCGTTTCGGTGTCAAAAATCAATTATATACAATGGTGTGAGATGATGTTTGGTTTCTGATGACGTGTTTTCAGGGTCCCATGTAGTTACTCAGTGCAGTACAGTCCTCTACAGCATTTGGTAACCCTAGCTGGGTGAGTGGCCGATCCATAGCAGGCCGGGGTTTCGAGCCGCACTAGTTTGAATCAACCACCACACTGCAAGCAGAGAACAGACATGCCGAGACAACCTCTCAGGATCTCTAAGATCCTGAAGACATTGGAGAAAGTGTCAAAACTCTTCAAGGATTCAGCATCTTAGACATACCATTGGACTTGGACCATTGGAATCAGCGCATCTGCGTCACATTGCGTCACCGGACGGCCCTTCGCATCGGGACGGCTGAGGCGATGGCTTTCGCCCCATCCCTGAAGCTGAGGAGGCGGAGTTCTTTCTTTGTGGAGAGCCGCCGGAGGACTGGCAGACCGAAGCGTTTTCTGGACCTGCTGAATGTACCTCAATATGTGTTGCAGTAAATAAGTATAATAAGTGCTTAAACCAGTAGGCGAACTTGCAATCTAGGGACCTCAATAAATCCAACTCGGACTGGGCTAGTCATTTTATAAGAGGTGGTATTGAGTATTTAAGTGATTGAGGGTTATATAAGGTATTTTTGCTGTGCTGCTGGCTGCTTCCAGGACAAGCCATGCGAAGTCTTGTTAAAATGTCAAGGACTTGGAAGTAAGAAACCGTTGATGAAAACCAGCGGCATGAGACTTTGAGGCTTAAACGGGCATGAAACTTGAAGCTTCTGTTGGGTCAATCCACTCGACCACCAGAAACGACCCGAAACCACCAGAAACGGCGCATATTGCCGATTCCACCGCTTCGACAGGTGTACGGTCTACACTCACCATGCGAGCGCCCAGGAGCCCTTGCCACCCGAAGAGGTCCCGCAGCTCCCGAGCCGGCCACGAGAAGGAGATGACCCGCCCTGGGAGAGGATGTTCCTTTTTCGGGTGCAATGTATCTATGAAGCAATTTGAAGCCACTTTTGAAGCCATCTCCCATCAATTAATCCTGGCTCTCCGTGTGATTAGAGTCAGCACAAGCACGGTTAAACATTAAGCCGTCTAAAACTTGAAAGAATATGTCTGAATCGAATCGCTCAAACGTATCGCCAAACTGGCCGAAATCTGGCACGAGTCCAGACAGCACAGCACTGTTCATTTGCCACCGGACAGGAAAGGTGGAGGTGATGGGTCAAAGGGTGGGCCTGTTGGTAAACCACACGATGACATCACACAGGTAGGATGTGTTTTAGAGAACTTTCTTTTTTTGGCCAGTAGGTAGGTAGGTAGGTAGGTAGATGTAGGTAGATGTAGGTAGATGTAGGTAGGGTAGCTAGTAGAGACTGGGTAGCTAGTAGGTACTAGTAAGCTACGTAAGCTACCTACTGGACGCAGGATAGCTCACGCTTCTTCAAGAAAGCTGCCCCCGCCTGAGGGCTTTGAATAAGCGATCGCACTAATCATTTGGTTCCTGGACTTTAGGGATACTTTGAATGATGCTGCCATGAACCCTTTGCAGCCACACTTTTAAACAAACATCGCATGGGGTGTCCAAAGGCTTAGTGGGGCAGCCCATGCTGCATGCTCACACCAAGCATCCCAAGACCCACAATGAGTGGCTTCTCGACCCGTTCGCCTGGTACACGGGCATTTCCAAAGGCTGAAGAAACTTGAATCGATTGGCCCGTGTGTGGTTGGGGAACTGCTGATGTGGACCTGAAAAGCCAATAGAGGAAGACCACAAATGAGTAATGTTCATACGGAGCCTTGCTTGAAGAGCATTGAGGGACTGGCGCTAGATGAGATGAAGTTCTTCTCACTCTTGCGTTTGATAAGTAGGATCCAGGTTGAGGTCTGAAAATAGAAAGAATGTAGGAAGGGTTCCCAATCAATGCTCGTAAAACTTGGAAGGGCTCCAAAGGGCTTTCGAATGCTTCCCACTGCTCAGGTTCCTTTATGGTCGGAGTTCCCACCAAGGGCTCTTCCACATCGTACAGACAATGGTTTTGAGGGATGATTCAATAAAGCAACCAGTGCCACCTGGAAGGAGAATAAAACCAGTGCCAGTGTCAGTTTGTATTTGCAGCAGAATTTGCGCCACCATAAGTCATATTTTCTGATTCTGGGCGGCCAGGACTCATCACCTACTCGGCTGAGATGGATTTGTCGCTCGGTTTGGATTCGGATTGACCAACACCTGGAAGGGCTTTGAGTTGGTGTGTTCAAAGACAACAAGCTTGGTCCGGTCCCGAATCGGTTGGTCACCAAGTCTCCAGGACTCTCCTGGTTCCTCAAGCAAATCCAAGCTAGCTTGGACTTTTCGGAAGGTTCCAAACACCTTTCCAGCAGCTTGGAAAAAGAATATCGAGGTGCGTACGCCGCTTTGGACGCACCCAGAAGGTGTTAGGAGAAATCAGGTCCTTTTTGCCGAAAGTCCAAACGTATCATGTGAACTTAGTGGTAGATAATTAACAAATTGTTGCGTTTGCATTGTTTCCTCCGGTGGGTTTGTTGGACCATTGGATTTTGCGAGACAGATTGAGATAGGTTCAAATTGGTTTGGATTGATACGTTGTTTTAAAAACAACGGTGGGGTTCAACATCGGAGCAACAAGAACAATCGCTCCTTTGCGTTTGAGGGTTTGGATTTCAGCATTGTTTTGCTTTGATGCAAAAGAGTATTCTGGTCCAATTTGAGGTTCCTAAGGTTCTTGGCCATCTATAGAATCTATTGGTTCAATTTGGTTTTGAAAGAAACTGGTTTCTCTTCTAAAAAAGGCGGTGTTCCATTCATCTTGACTTATTTGGAGGTCGGTAATAATTGCACGTTATGACATATGATGGGGCATGGGAACACTATTAATTTTGTTTGTTGCTCAGACAGTAGCCGGGTTGCATCATTTTTTTTTCGCAAGAGATCTCTCAGCAAGGCCTTTGAATCAACCGCCCATGCGATCTGGAGAGGTCGGCGGCTGCAAATGGATGGGAGCTAAGAAGGGCTAAACGGTCGCCTCCAGCCTAATTTGAGAAATCCCTAGGGTCGATTTAGCGGCGTTTGAGCATCCGGGACGGCGGGAATTCAAATCGTTTCACAGGTTCTATCATACAGTCGTACAGCAGGCAGAAGGACCTGAGACATGGTTGAATGCCACCGTGCACCCTTGTGGTTGTTGGGATTGGTTCGGCCAGTGTGAAGGAATTGTAGGAAAGATATTGTTTTCATACGCCGGCACACACTGATCCCATGCAGGACTCTCAAGACTCTATTCTGTGCACTGTAGAGTGGTTATTCTTATGTGCCAAGGGATGCAATTTGTTCACCGCTTTCATCCGCTTTCCCATTCCCAACATGTCAACACTTTGGCCCTGATGGGAACCCTCCGAGCTGTGCCATGGCTGAACAGGTGTGGCACTTGTGCCAAGAAGATGGGAAAACCTTTGAGAAGCCTGGCATTCCAATGGTGGGATGTTGGGTCAGCTTTGCACAGGGGTCTGGCGCCGGGTTCTGGCCAAGCTCGTCGACAGTTTAACAAGTGGACGAGCCAATCACTAGACGGAACTCAGTGGAACCTGTCTCCCGACTTCTTGAAACCCTGATGTTCACATAGTTTGATTCTATCGGAACTCATTCTATTCTGAGTTGTTGCAAAGTTAATGATCCTTTGGCATGCCCTGAGTCAAATCATCTGACCTTACTGAGCCATTTACCCCAGTGTGGCAGGCATCAAACATCGCGTTTGATTTCACGAAGACCAACGCTTCCGAGACCTCGGCGCCGCGGAACTCGTTCGCCCCAGGAAGGTGATCCTCTCGATCCACTCCAACGGATTTGCCATTAGCTCCATGGCGTGGTCAGGTCGAGCTCACCGTCTTCGGGAAGATGTGAATGTAGAGGTTGAATCAAACAGCTGTTTGCCAAGGAGAGGTTCATGGTGGTGAGGCAAAATACCTCGATGTACTGCAGGTGGTGCTTGGTGTGGATTCCCTCAAATATGTTTCAGAAACTGTTCGCGGTTTCCACAACTGCCCTGCCAGCAAGAACTCGCTGCTCCCAGACTATGGTGACTATGGAGTACGGAATACACTATGAGCAAAATCCTACCCCACCTGGGTTCTACTAACAAGAAGCTATATACTCTAGTCTCGGAGTGTTTGGCCCCAAAACCAGGGTGTGCGCCATCTTTTGAGCCATATGTCTGGTTAGACAGAAGCCAACCAAACCGACAAGGATAGACACCTTGCCAACCAGTAAGAGAAGGCCAACCATTGGAAAGCTGTTGCAGCAGGTGATGGGCACAGTAGATGGCGCAGGGGAAGGGGGGGGGATGAAGAACGGGGCGGAGAGCCCATAGCAAGGTCACGGGAGAGCGGAATGCACAGAAAACAAAGCAAACCAACAAGGATAGACACCTTGCCAACCAGTGAGGGAAGGCCAACCATTGGAAAGCTGTTGCAGCAGGTGATGGGCACAGGAGATGGCGCAGGGGAGGGGAGGGGGGGGGGGGGCCAGGAGATTTCCACATCAACAAAAACATCGCTCCATCTTCTGATGCTTGTACTTGTAGCGCGCAGCTTTCCAGTAGCTGGAGCGCCATCTTATATGTTTGCGCCATCTTATGTGAGTGTTCTGAATTGCCCAAATGTGCCATCTTATATTTTTGTTCGGGCCATCTATTCCGAACGTAGTGTACTAGGAGCAAAGGGCATCGCTACTAGGAGCAAGGACGCTACTAGGGGCTCTTGGCCTTACTACTAGGAACAAGAAGCTACTAGGGGCTCCGGGTGAATGTCTTGCTAGAAGATGCTAGAAGGGGGCCCGCCGGTGCGACAACGTATTGATCCCTGAGGGGTGACCAATAAAAGGATACACTGACGGCTCATGTGCTGAACCTTACTCCCATCTCCTGCCCAGGATATCCTGATGACGACTATTCTTTGATGAGTATTGCATGGTCACCTTTTTCACTGGTTCAAGCCTGTCGACTTCATACCATTCAGGCGCTGAAACTGGTTGGTGTCGAAATAGTGCAGGCAGGAAAAGCTGGCATCAGTAATTCCACAGTTGTGGCATGTTGTGGCTACTGTTGATGAGTTTTGCACATCGTCTCCAAATTCCGCATGTGAGAACTACCTAAGTAGCTGACAACAGCTTGTGTAGACTCGCTTTCCATCACAGAACCATTCAGCCATCCAAGACTTTGGAGCTGATGAGGATGGAAGAATCTTGAAGGATCGTTGTTCATACAGTTCAAACATGTTCAAACCATCTTTGAAGATCTCCCGTTTGCAGCCGTCAGGCGGACCAGTCCCAACCTTGGCTACGGCTTTTTAAAGTCTCCCGGCGTGGCGGTTTTGTTTAAGGGATGTGGCGCCTGGGAAAGGTTTAGTCGGCTGGGACGTGCAGGCAGACACAGGCACAAAGACTATGGCAGACTTATGTTCAGACAGGGATTTTGACCACGCTTAATTCCCGAAGACTGGCAGTTTGACATAGGAAATGCGTGGGTTGCCAGGGTTGGGGATTTTTCTAATCTTTCACATCAGTGGTCTCATACCTTGGAGTGGTCGCTGCGTCTCAAGCAACGATGCCAGCACTGTGTGGACCATTCCTTTGGCAGGTTCGAACAAACCCATTGGTTTGCTGACCAACGGAGCAAGAACCGATCGAGTGGTGCTTTGAAGCAACGATGGTTTCGCCACGGCGATTCGGGTTGCAGAATTTTCGCGTTCCCGCTCCGGTGCAATCCAAATGCCGTTTCTTTCTCTCTCTCTCTCTCTCTCCCTCCCCCACAAAGGAAATACACGACATGGGTGTGTCACTCGTTTTGCGCCATACACCCATTTGTCCTTGACCCACACTCATACGTGTTTTTTAGGTGTCGGTCTTCCACCATGGGCTGACGCATTTCTTCGCCACCCATGGCTTGGGTGCAGACACCGAGCGGGCACGCTGGGTGGCTGACGCGCCTTGACCGGAAGGACAGATACTTGTAGGGCCTTAGGAAAGCCGATGGTTTGAACTGCGGAGGATTTCAACAAGTGTTTGCTAGTTTGTCATTTACATGTGTTTGTTCTTTATCTAAGTCTTCCTGAAGCTGGTTCCAGAGCATGGGGCATGTTGTCCGGTTGGTGACCGGTGTGGGCGAGGCGTGCAAGAATCTTAGGCTCCAGGACCTGAGGAGGTCACCGGGATCGTCCCAGATCATCTCGGGACAAATGTGTTTAGAAGTTTAGAAAATACCTTTGTACTCTGGCATTACGTGGACCCATTCAAAACATATCAAAACTAATTACAACATCATATTATATACATATATACTGTTGTGAGGGCATGAATTTTGATTGACCCATGGTGACCAATCACATGAACCAACCACTAAACAGATAGGTCTAGATACAACCTCTGGGAAAGCGGGCCACCTGGGCCAACCGGGCTTGTGACCGTCCTTGAGGTGTCGCGCGCCTTGCGGATCCTCACGCAGTCACTCTTCCCGAGCTTTCAGTTGGCGGTGTTCCCCCTTCCGGGAGCCAGTTGGACCTCCACACGTCTACTGGCAGGTGGGGAACGAGGGAAGCAAACTCTAAAGACTTGGTCATAGACTAAGTAGTTCCGGGTCATTTCTGACGTTTGTGTCTTTGGGGATGCAATTTGTTGGTGTTCCTCTAGCAGCACAAAAAAGGATTGGAACATCATTGAACATCCACGTTTATTGCATCCAAATGCTGTAGGGTGCTGAACTTGTACCTGGTGGCGATTTGCAGCCTGGCATATTGCTTGGTGTCCCCCAAAAAGTCTCCATACAAATCGATGTCGTGGTTCATCAGATGCCCGATTTGTGCACACGTGGGCGGTTTTCCCGTGTTTTGCTGCGCCCGCCAATCCGATTTGCGGCAGGCTACATGCTGCTCTATGATGACCAGGGTGTTTCCTTGGTGTATGGCACCTTGGCGGATCTACCGTTTTTGGTTCCACTCACAAGAGGTTTGTTTAGGGTGTCATGAGGATTCGTTTGGACCCAATGCTGTTCATGCTAGTCCTTTTGGGAAGAATTAACTATTTATAGTAACTATTATAGTACGTACTGTAGTGTTTTGACGTCGATGCAACCGCTACAAAGCGCACAAAGGCATTTGTTGAGTCTACCAAGCCCATGGTTTTCAACATGTCTCTTTTTGTCACTTTCCTCGGATACCTAGGCAGGTCCCGACCTGTGCACGCATGTGATATACCTTCACCCATTGAAAGGCATTCCTGAGTGAGTACTCTTTGCGCTCACGTGCGTTCCTTTGTATGGCCTTGTGTTCGTCAGGAGAGCTGCATGCACATTGCGATAATACAGCGGGTTTTGCGGCCTATGAGGATGATGCGTGTAAGGCTTGGACCGCATCGCTATCATTGAGTCGAGGTTTCTTGGGGCTCGGCTCTGAAAAAGCTACAAGAGGAGGAAACATGCTGATCAGCATGGGCCTTGGCAGCCTTGACTGCCACAAATCCATGGGGCACCTGAGAAGATGTTTACCATGGTTACGCACCGCCCTATGTAGTTTACCAAAGTTTACTAGTTTCTTAATCAACAAACCAGTTTGTTGTTCATGAGTACACTGGAAACTGGAAACTACTAATTATAGCTTATATTGGCTTGCGGCTTGCTATTTGTGCAACACATTCATCATACACACGCATATCAGACAGCGTCACTTCCGAAACACTACTACTGGTCGTACTACACTATATATATAGAGAAACCGTGTGTTCAAGAAAAACATGTTTGAATGAACTTGAGCTGAACAAGCGGGCTTATTGATCGTGACTGTATCTGGAACAAGTCATCCCATTTCTGTTTAAAAAGATGGTTTGGGGGAGCTCATGGGGACTCCATGTGGTTCTGTGTGTAGTCTAGTCCATGTGTTTGGGGAGACCGGCCTTGAAGTTGCTTGAACCAATGCTGATGTTAATGCGATCAACCAGTCCAACGAGCAACCGGCCAGGTTCAGGTGGTGCACCTCGCGATTGACACCAACACTTGCACCTCGGACGGACGGTGAAATCAATACGGCAGATACACGTGGCCCTTGGCGGTTTGGTGCTTGCGGCTTCAATTTGGTGCCGTTGCCTTGTGGGTATGGGTACGACTCTACCTGGGCGCCTCCAAAAGAGGTCTGCCAGATATTCCCAAGTTTGGGGCTATATATTTGGGTTCTGGTTTCCGACCCTTCCAACTCATGAGGGCTTGCAATTCGAGACGGACAAAGCCACCCAAATCTCCGAACATCCTTTGACCGGACAAAGGACACTGAATATTGGTATCTTGCACATTTGTGCTGGACAGTTTTGGTTTGTGTGGAGGAGGAACCTGATACTACATGGGCTGCAATGAGAAGGGTGCAGCAGGGTATTCTGAATGGCGGTGTGTTGGAAAAAACAACTCATTGTGGCTACCCACGGAGCATTGGAAGACTGAAAAGGTGTTTGACAAAAAAGACAAGCACATGAAAAACATTGAAAAACATTGAACAACAACGGCAATCAAAGACACTTGCCTAGAGGCTTCAAAAGATCATTTGGGAAACACAGAAACACGCCCACAACAAAGACATGACATACACAGACTCTTGCCGCTACTCTGAAATTCTGTGTCCTTTGTGGGAACACTTGATGCTCGTGACGGCTCAGTTTTCTTCACCAAACCCAGAAAACCTCTTACGGTTGAGAAGGTATCCTTGTGTCCAAATGTTCGGGATATTCCCTTGTTTTCTTATATACACCCAAACCATCCCAAATCCCTGTATTCCCTTGTGTCAAAACGTTCTGTTTTGAAACCGTGGAATCTTCTCGTGTGATCACTGCGAGCCGATCACTGCCGAAGGTGTGAGCGAGCGCGTGGGCATCGACTGCAGCTGCTTCAGCCTGGGTGGCTTGAATGATTTACTGTATCGTAATTATAGGTTGAAGCACCAAAAAAAAAGGAGAACGCATATGCTGGTGTTCCCAGCACATCCCAGCTCTGTCTTATTCAGATCGGTTTCACCAGCTTCCCGGCTTCCCCCTTTGTCGACGTTGTTAGGGCAACAGGTACCATGGGACTCATGATTGTAGTGAGAAAAAGGAATTTCTTAATTCTTTCATCAGATATAATTGTACTATGTTGATCTCAGTTTAGCTTGGACAAACTATTCTCATCTACAGTGCACAGGGATGGCAACCCCAAGAGCCCTGACCCCTCCTACCTTTGTTTGAGGAATCAATTGGTAATTTTCACACCTCCCTTGCTGCGAAAGAACCTGAGTTTGCCCTGTTGGAATTCGAGAAAATGAGGGCCACGAGGGCAGCCTATTCAATGATGATGCTATTCTGGCAAACAAATGGCAGCAAAACCTGCGAAACGAGCCCTTGCAATGGATTCAATGGATGTTTTAACCTCCACAAAGACGACCCCAAGGAGGGGCCCCTTGGGCTACTTGTAGGGGGAGCTTCTGAGGAAAACATGTGGCCCTTGATGGGAGACTGGTAGAGACCAACACGTTCGCACCAAGGGGACCACCACTTTTCCACGCGGACCTGTGCGGAGAAGATGCTGTGGCTCCGGGCTATCAGCAACGTCAAGGTGGGCTTTGTTCCGCCGTGAGTGTTTGTGCAAGTTCACCGCACCACAGCTGGGTGGGTAATGTTGGATCCTGATTAGTAAATGGGCCCTCTATAATGCTAATTTTTTCCAAAATTATTCAGACCCACCTGTTTGAAAAATGGTTCCTGAATAATGCTAACTTTTTTGGGGGCCCTAAATTTTTTATATTGGAAACCTATTTAATAAGGGTTTGAATTCCTTCTGAGGCCAATGATTATGATTCATTAGCTGATATAGCTTTCTCTAGG